CGGTGTCGGGGCCGCCAGGGCCTGACTGTCGCTCACCGGGCAGAAAGGCAGCGACGGGGGAGTGATGAGCTTCCCGGGCGGCTCAGGACGACAGAGATTTACTCTGCGCCCGGGGGTGCCGCAGGCTGGCTCCTTCTGCCCGGTGCCTCTCCCCTCTCCTTAATTTTTTAAATAAAATTTTATCTTATTCATTTAAAATACATTTTTATCTTTAATATATGTTTATTGATTTTGGAGAGGAAGAGAAAGAGAGAGAAAAACATCAGTGATGAGAGAGAATCACCGATGGAACCGAGGATCGAGACCGCAACCTGGGCCTGTGCCCCGACCGGAATCACACCGTGACCTCCCGGTTCATAGGTCGACGCTCAGCCGCTGAGCCGCCGCGGGGCTCCCCTCTTTTCCAGGGGCTGCGGGCAGTCCTTGGGGTTCCTGGGATGTAGACCCATCACCTGGTCTCTGCCTCCACCCGCTCCCGGCCTCTCCCTGTGGGCGTGTCTGTGTCCGGATTCCCCGCTAATCGCTGGCGTAGGGCCCACACACAATGGCCTCACCGGAGCTGTGACTCCGCCAGGACCGTTTCTACTGCATCGGGGATTTTGTGGGAACAAGGGCATCCTGAAGAGGCAAGCCCCTGGCCGTCATTCCTTGTTGCTGTGGCAACAACGACAACAGTGTGAGGCTCAGTGGAGACCCCAGCCCTGAATGCCGGGCACCCCACTCGGTGCCTCCACTTTTCACCGAGAGCCGGGGCGTGGGTCCCTGCCTCCCCCAGGCCGGCATGTGGTTACCAGCCAGCACCAGGGTCCTCGGTGGCACAGAGCCCACCAGCTGGCCCCACAAGACTCACTGTCTCACCCCCAGGTCCCCGCCCAGACCCAGCACCTCCGCTCCTTCAGGGTCAGGAGGAGCAGCCACCTCCGAACACAGGCTTCCAGGCAGCTGCCTGCCAACGGGCCCCACAGCCCCGCCCCAGGGCCAGCTCCTCCTCCAGGCCTGGCTTGGGTGCCCCCACCCCAGGGGGCCCCCACCTTGCCGGGTCCCTCCGCAGCGGGCATCGCTGGATCAGGTGCCTGTGGCCGCACCTGCTTGGGGGGGAGGGGGAGGGGGGAGGAGGGGCGGCACAGAGCGGGCACCCGTGTGAGTGGGTCCCCGGGGACACCCAGGGCTGCTGGACACCCATCCGGTCGCCTGAGCCCTGACCAGCGGGGCTCTGGGCCCCCTGACAACTGCAGAAGGAAAATTGCACCTTGTTCTTGTCGCATAAACAACCCTTTTACAGGCTGAGCCAGGGCCACACACAGTTACTCATTAGCCGCTTCCAGGGCCCGGACAATAGCGGCTTTATCACCAGCAAGTCGCACTTTCCACTGGACTAGATGGAACCACTCGGCAGTAAAAGGGGCAGCCCCACCCCCTGCCCGCAGCCTCGGCCTGGCCCGGCGGGGTCGTGACCTCGAGGTGACAGCCAGCTTTTAATGGACTCCTCTGTGCAGCTAAGAAAAGCGGGGGAGGAGCCAACGTTTCTGGAAGCCCTCCTGGGCGCGAGGCTGTTTGCCAAGGGTCCCGCGGCCGGGAGGGTGCCGGCGCGCAGTAGGCACCGGGCGATGCTCCCTGAAGCGTGAGCCTAGTCGGTGTCTGTCTGATCCTCCTCTCACACGGGGACACCGAGGCCAAGTCCGGCCGGGAGCCTGTGGACACGTCCGGCCAGACTCAGGCCGAGACCCCTCGCTTCCCTCGTGGATTCGCAGCCTGGGCAGACCCGCTGGGGTGGCTCAGCCTCAGGCTGGAGAGCCCCCTTTAAGACAGGGCACCCCGTGGCCGGAGGAAGCGCAGGAGCAGCAGAGAGGAGGGGCCCAGAGCCTGGGCTGCGTCAGCGGGAACCTGACCTCACCCATCACAGTAGGACCGGCTGCCGGAATCCGACAGGCAGCTACCCCGGCTCAGGGACCCCCTTTCTAGGATGGATTTTACTTCCCTTGCAACTGAGCACAGAGAAAACTGCCCACAGGTATTTTTAGCAGCTCGTTGGTTCGGAGGCAGGCGGCTCCTCCCCACCCCCGGGGAAGGTGTCACATCTGAACCTGCTCTGTGTCCAGGACGAGAAGTGGGCAGAGGTGTGAGGAAGCACACAGGTCACTGGGGGGCGAGGGAGCCAGGGCACAGCTGGGGGGGGCGGGGGCTCCCCGTCACTGAGGCCGGGGCGACGTCTGGGCCCTCCGCCGGGTGCCTGTGAGGAGCCCAGACAGAGCGGGTCAGCGTTGCTGTGGGCTGACCGGTGGCCCCACGAGATGGCCCACCTGTTCTCCGCAGGTGTAACTACGGGAAGAGCCGGACGAGGTGACCTGGGGGAGGGCGGGCTGCACCCCAGGACGAGGGCTCCTGAGGGGGCCGAGCGGAGAGGCTCACAGACACAGGGAGAGGAGCCCTGACCTGTTGGGGGACACGGAGGAAGGCGGGGCCACCAGGAGCTGGGGCCCCAGAAGGTCCTCCCCAAGCCCCCGGGGCCCAGCTCTGCCCACACGCAGTGGCCCCGTAAGGGTCTGCTCTCGGCCCAGTCTGTGGCTGCAGCCCCCGGACACTCGCCCCAATGGGGCCTGGGAACCTGGGGGGGCACTGGGTGTGCGCTGGGTCCAGACACCCCCGTCTGAGGCCTCCGGGGCTTCCCCCAGGCTGGACCCTGCGGGCACCCAGACAGACCAACTCCACCCCACGCCAGGGCACAGGCCCCTCAGCCGCCCCAGAGGGGGGCCAGGGCTCTGGAAGGGCCCACCTGGTGCCAGGACCCCCTGAGGGATGGACTTGAGGGCAGTTGGGACAGACTGTTCTGGAGCCCTGCCCCCTCCCCTGGCCCAGGACAAAGCTGTGTGACTTCCCAGACTCGGGTCATAGGTCGTGGCCTCTGCCCCTCGATCCCAGGATAGAGGTCAGAGGGGTCAATCCTGAGACTTGGTGGAAACTTTGGGGACCCCGCCCCGACCCCCCTTACCTGCCAGCGTACCAGGACCTCTCAGCTGAACCCCCGCTTCCTCCTCCACCGAGGAGGCCCCCTCCAGGCTGCCAGGAGGAGCTGAAGGCCCCACGGCAGAGCGGGCCAGCGCCCGGCCGGGGACG